TATATTCACGAAAAAATATACATCTTAAATACCAAATCTAATATCATTTATACTTATAAAAAAATTTATTTAAAGGCATATATTTATTGTATTAGCTTATAAGTTTTGATAATTACTTTATTTAAAATTTAATCTAACTGTGTAATTACATTTGTACAACCAAACAATAAACTTGTAATACACTGTAATTACACTATGACAAACAAACAGGCAGTCCTAATTATAATATTATGTAATTACTAGGCCGTGTACTTATTTTTTTCCTTTTTTCCTCTTATTACCCTAGTAATTATACTAATTTCAATTACCTGGTGACTCTCCTGTTCAAACCTGCTGCAAATTATTTTTATTGAGTTAGGGGTCTTTCGAAAATAACTTCCCTTGGTTGTTGGTAGAGAAAGTATCCCGTCATTTTAAATCCAAAATTTAAAAATCGATAACTATAATAACAAGGTGAAATAATAACAATAATAATAGTAGTAATAATGGTTCAATTTCCAAACAAGTTAGTATCCATCGTATGAACTATTAAATCTTCACTGATCATATTTTTCATGTGATATTCATCTTTGATTAATATTATACAACAACATTACACAGAACAAAAAATTACTGAAATATTGACAGTTGCATAATAACATCATAAGATTGATGAAATGGTATAAGTTGGTGTCACACCTTGGCATCGACCAAACTCAAACTATATTGGACTTATGATATTTGCCCACCTTTACGAAAAATAACTTAGCATAATGGGAGCTCTAAAAACTACTAGTAATTGCCATCTATTCACGTTCGTTAGCCCTTTGTTTCATTTCAAATGGGTTAAAGACTATCAAATAGTCAATCAGGAGTTATTTAGGTATTCTAGCAAATGTTTTATTTCGTGAAAAAAATTTCAACCTAAATTACTTTTTCAGAAAAGTGGAGATACATGGTTGAAAGCTCAAAAAAATTAAAATTAAAAATAAATAAAATAAAAAGATGGTTGAAAGCAAAGCTAAAGCTGAGGACAGATTTTTCTTATCTTATTCTCCTCCTGTCAATCTATTTATCTTGCCTTTTTGTGTTCCTGAAGTTTCTCCTTCCAATCCATCAAACAGCAAACGTGTCAGAAAATATCTAAGCAAAAACCATGGCTGCCACACTCAGCCTCCTCAAACTTCCAATCTTGCCCTCAAAACAGCACCAAACTAAACCCAAGCTGTCAATTCCGAGCAAGCATTCAGTTACTCTTCTCCCTCAAAAGCTCCTCCCCAATGAGACCATTGACCAACTCAGATCAGCTTCTCTTCCTCTCACAGCACTCACATTACCTTTCTTTCTCGATGCCAAGGCATGTTTTCTCTTTAATATTGTGAAAAATTTGTTACTTTTTTCTTTATTATTGCTGAGCATATTGGTTTATGTGAATAATTTGAATCTTGGGTTTTGTGAACAGGATGCATTTGCAGTGGGTGGAGAGTTTGGGATATTTGAGGGAAGAACTATTGCTCTGATTCATCCCACTGTGATGGCTGGTTTGTTTGTATACACTTTATATGCGGGTTATCTTGGATGGCAATGGCGGAGAGTTAGGACTACTCAAAATGAGATTAATGAGCTGAAGAAGCAAGTTAAACCTCTCCCTGTGACCCCTGAAGGCACCCCTGTTCAACCCCCTAAGCCATCCCCTGTTGAAGCCAGAATTCAGCAACTCACTGAGGTGCAAGTTTTTTAATTTATTTTATATATTTTGTTCTTTGCACCCCTTTTTAGCCTTCACTTTCTATTTAGTAGAGGGTCTTTAGGTGGTGTGGGACTGCAGTGG